CCCGAGGGTTCGGATCCCACATACAGACCGGTTCCCGCTCACTGGCTGAGCGAGGCGCGGGGGCAACGCCGAGGGCTGCGATCCCGTTGCCGGTCCCCGGTCCGGTATGGGGGCAACACTGAGGGTTGCGATCCGTTGCCGGACACGGAAAAAAGACAAAAAAAAAAAAAAAAATAGACAAGTGAACAGATATGATGTTGATGGGGGGGCAGGGGGGAAGGAGAAATTGGTAAAGGGATACGAAAATCAACTACACTGTATATTGATAAAATAAAAATAAATAAATAAAAACCCTACCTGTAGATGCACAACCCTCAGAGGCCTTCTGGATCATCAGAGAAAGACTCTGGTTCAGACAGCCTTGTTAAAGCATATTTTATCCCATTCTTATTACTTGTACATCTATATCTGATGTAAATGATAGTTTTTAATCAACTAATCAACATGTTTGATTATCTAGAACACCTCATTCTCTAAACATATGGAATAAGAATTATAGTACAAATAATTATATGTCTCTCCTTGCTCTCAAAAATTGAGGTACTTTTTAAGTCCATTTTGACTCAGTTTCTTGCTTATAATAGGTACTTTATTCATATTTTTTACTCTATGTTGTCTTTCCCTTCCCCCCAAAAAAGAAAAGGAAAAAATTTAATCTTCTCATGTGAAAGTAGCAGGCAGGCTTGATAGAGTAGTTAGCTCATTAGTGTGAAGTTACTATGAACTGAAAGGTAGTATAAACTATCACCAAACCATAGGCTAGGAGGGTAGTTGAGGGATCTGTTAATACTTGGCTTCTCGAGAGTCAAAATTTCTACATGTTGAAAGGTTTTTTCCACTGGGAGTAGCATAATATGTAAGCATTGTATAGATTACGTTTTTAGCCAATGGTCTGTACTCCTAAAAACATGTGTGCCATTAGGTTTTCAAAAATAGCTATGGCCACAGAGTGTATAAAGATGTTTATACCATCTTTTGATCTCTTGAGTAATGAGGCATCAAATCAACTGAAAATGTGATGTCTGCATAACTTAAGATGAGATCAGGCGCATTCAGGGTGGTATGACCATAGACTACCTGCATAACTTAGAGACAGTATAGATGGGCTTTCCAATCTAAGTCTTCCTACATGTTGCTCTTCTCATCAGTCAGATATAGTTGATTGTAGTATTTTTCTAAGATCATCATAAGATTTATTTTCTGGTTACCTTTTTTCCTTAAGAGTAGGTTCTTTAATATTAATTCTTAGAATTTTTTTTTCAAAATATATACAGTAATATCTCCTTTTGACCAATCATTTATGTTTGTAGTGTTATATGATTGATTACTTAGAAGTTCACAATTCTTTGTAGTAAAATAGTGGGAAGGCATAATCTTTCCTAAGAAAAGGAAATATTTTGTTGAAATATTTTTACATGAATTGGACTAATTCAAAGCCAGATGGTAATCAACTTATTGGGTATGTAAAAATGGACCATGTCAATCTCAAGATTAGCTCTGATATATCAAGTTTGTGCAGATAGAATTATAGTGTCTCATTATAATTCTGTTTTACCTGAAACTTTCCATAGCCTTAAAATAATTAGAAAATAGGCCTGGCCTGGCATAAATACTTTTTTGTAAACTTATGTACTTCATTATGTATGATACCCATTTCTAAAATAATTGTGAAAGGAGGATTCTACTTAGGTTTTTTTTTTATAATTACTCCATTGTAATACACCATCCGTGCATTTGTTTTTCCAATATTGCCCACAATCTGTTTCCTGTTATTAAGTACTGCGAGGATGGAACTTAAATAAAATAAACCAAAAACTAAATTTCAAAAAGATTAAAATCCATTCCTATGACCAAGTCTTTGAAAATTATTATAGAACTTAAATGTGCTAAATGTTCTATTTAGGTGTCTAAACATTAATCAGGCTGTAATTGTAAAGCCTTAATGCAGTATAACACATATTATTGCTTTCACTAAATTAAATCAGTAGCTTAATATTCTTAGTGCTGTGGGTCTTTCACAACCTTCCAACTGCATCCTTTTTAAAAAACAGCAGCACCTCCAGCAACAGCAACTCACCTGACCCCAAGCTCTCTTCCTTTGGCATTGCCTTAGTTGCTGACTTGCTGGTTATTCTGAACTTTATTATCAGAGGGGAAACAAGGGCTTTTATTTAATGTAGCGATTGTAGTGTTTGTGAACAATTTCATTTGACTTCCCTAAAGGTAATTTTTTGATAGTTTGTTTAGGAGTTATTACTGTTTAGATCTACATGTTGAGGGAATCTTGCCTCTTTGATATTTGTATAGGGGTATATAGGTTTATTCAGGCCTTAACTTTCTACAAACTAAATGTGTTTTTGTTTGTTTTTGTAATTTTTGCTTCCGTTTTAATTTAAGCCTTAATAGTTTACAAATGGTAAACTCTTCCCCTGAGGCATTCTAAAAGGGCCCCTGTTAACTACATACCTTTTGGTTGGACTCTGGTCTGAGAGTAGTTGGAATGTGACTCAGGAGTGTTTTTTATTCAGAGCAAAGAAAGAATTTGACTTAAAAACAAAGCCCTCTCCATGCCACTTTGTGATCAAATGTTTACATATAACTAGGTTATATTTTCCTTTTTACTGCGAGCATTTGCTTGGGAAAATTAAGAATATAAAAACAAATTAGTAGCTAATAATGTTTATCCCTGATGTATACCAGTCTTCAGAGTAGAATTCTGATTTTATAAAACACATTTGAGAATAAATTTAGTATGTAATCGCTGTTGTTTTGAAGGTATAGAATTCGCAAATTTTTTTTTCTGCTTTTACTTTTATTTTTTCTCTTTTATTTTTTTATTTTATTTATTTTATTTATTTTTATTTTGTCAATATACAATGTAGTTAGTTATTGT